GGTACATGAAGAAATGAGTAGCTAAGGCAACACTTGAGAGAGGTATTCAAACGTCAGCCAAGGTGATCTATCTCCACAATATACGGCTGTACTTTTTGTAAAGTTTACAACTTCACGCGTGAAATTTACGGTCGAGAAGGCTCACTTACAAATTAGCCAGCGCTTTCGAGATACATTCCGAGGTGGAAAGAACCGCGCGTATAATTTTACCCAGCCCTCATATATTTTTTCGCACAATAAAAATGCAAAATTTGAATGGGATTTTCGTACGTTGCGCTTTGTACTCATTTTGTGGGCGGTATATTCAGTGCAAACTTCCTCGTGTATTCACAATTTTCTTTTGAGATGAAAAATTTTTTACTCGACCAAACATGAAAGCGTTTGTAATAAAACTCAATTTGGCTTATTTCACACGCCCCAAGTTATGAATTGTGAATGAAATATGAAATTCAAATGCATTTATGATGTCCCTATTGTTGGATAGTATGACGCATTTCGATAGTATTCCATTATCACACCAGAACAAACAGTTTCTTTGTTCGTTCCAATCTCGGCTATTTATTACAACAGCATTCCATGCGAAAATCGAAAAATCGGAAATATCAGATGCTCTCTGCTGTTCTGTAGTAACTCTTTTGGAGTTCTAAAATTACTACGTACTGTTTTACTTACAAATAGAGAATGGCTGGACCGATTTTAATTATGCCTAATTTCTGATAATTCTAATTCTAAATATCAGAATAACTATAAAAACATCGGTAAATTTCACGATATGAAATATATTTTGTAATATATAAAAAAAATAAGTCAATCAAAATGTAAACAGAATTATTGGAAATAAATGATGACTGCCAGCTTCTAATTGTCAGGGTTTGATGATTCCAGGCTAATCGGTTGTCCTATCAATGTTTAAGTTTCGAAAGTATGACATTCATAGCATCAGCTAGTTTAAGATAAAATAATGCCGTCATGGAAGTAAAACGTTGCCATGCCATTATTTATAGTTTCTAGCAGTACCCGTGACTTTGTCTGCGTGGAATTTAACTTCATTTTTCTAAAATAAAAGTAGCCTAAGTTACTCCTTATTACATCAGCTACCTGCCAATGAAAGTCCCGTCAAAATCAGTCTAACCATTTCAGAGATTAGCTGGAACAAACAGACAGGCAGACAAAAATTGTAAAAAAAAAATAGTTCGGTGTATGTACCGTATTTATATTCATATGCATGCAATAAAAAACGGTTATTTCAATATTACAAACATACACTTCAATTTTATTTATATGTATAGATGTATAGATATACCTTCATTATAAACTATCAAACTAGAGTCGTTTATATATTTATTTTTTTAAATGTAATTTAATATGAATTCAATACACGTAAATACTTAGCTGCAAAATGCCAGTCACGATGTTATTACAAATGTAAGTGCTGCCTCCCCCAGATCGGAGGAAGCTAAAAGAGATACAAACAGACGAATGGGCGACAGTTTAGTGCCTTCTATGCCGTTCGGTTAGGTAATATCCGTTCTGTCATAACTTCGCAGCTGCTTCGAATCTGCTTCCTTCTACAACATGAAATAAGAAACAATTTTGTTACATTTGGAATATATCTATAACTAATATTATTTGTATACTTACATTTATGTTACGCTATAATAGAACTACGTGAAATCAAATTTGATGATCAATACAATTTAGTCCACATTGCTATACTTGCATTATGTATGTACATATGTCTCTACTTATATATGGCTATAGTTAAAATAAAAGAACAAATCTAAGCACTTATGAAAGTATAATAAGTTAACGATAGTAAATACATAACGAACACAAATATGAATGAAAAACCAATATTAAGCCCGCAGACGAAATTAAAAAGGAGCTGGTGAGTGGATTCAAAGTAAATAGTAATATTAGCCTATTGACAAAAAATACAGGACCAATAAAAATAATAAGACGTAGACCTGTTTTTGTAAAGTCGTAATTAAATAAAGTAATAATAAAAAAATAAATAAATAAAGGTAAGAAACTTAACAAGATGCATGCTGTGTATTCATGTTACATACAATTTTCACCAATGTAATAGTTGGTTGAGAGGGGAAGGGGATTATAAGTAATGTGAACTAATAACCTCGTTGTTAGCAATGTACCATGTCAGTGGACCTCTACGCGGTTCCTCTGGTGTCCATCGTGCTAAATTCCTGGAATTCGTCATGATGGGCAAATTGACCTGACTTTATGGTCATCTTATCATCCTCCACCGGTGGCGTAGGGTAGCACTAGCGGCGGCACGGCACGGCACCATTCCATTATCAGTCATTAAAAAAAATACTTAGTTCAACACTAATAATTTTATATACATTTTATGATATAATCATGGAAAGCATCAAGGATATTAAGTTATACAACATATAAAAAAATCATATAGGTATATAACAAAAAGATACTCAGTCACCAAACTGCTAGCCTCTACTATAAATTCGGTCGATTATTTATTATTGTTTAATGCTCAACTTTTAATAAATCTTAGAAATATTTATGGAATATCGTGAAAAGTAGTATAAGCTCCGCTGGCAGGAGCGCGGCTCTTTAATTATGAATGAATAATTAAAATACACACATGTATATCGATTTTAATTAATTATTTTGCAATGAAATATTTTAGTCTCATTCTAATAATCATTATACATGGATAAGTCGGTAAGTGGCTGCCAGTGTTATTATAATACAGAAGCAATTATGCAACTAAATAAGCACATTCACGTGCTCACTTCGCTTCTCACATCAAAGCCATACAACATCCTTTAGTAAGCGAGGTACAGAATCCGTTTGGAATCAAACTGCGGTGAAACAGCTCAGGCAGTGAGTTTGTTGCTAATGTACTTAGACCTGCTGTGTCGCAGTCTGCGATGTCGCTAATAAATTTAATTTACTGTAGTTGTTAGTTTCTGTAATGCCATATTCCTGAAAGTATATGATGTTACCTTTACTACGGTTTGGTTAAAAAAAAAAAGTATAGCGTATACGCAATCTTTTTTCAAATTTGGACTACCTGGACTTAACTGCAGGCTATTGCTACTAGTAGGTCCAAGAGTTCGAAGTATGAAATAAGACAAGTCTATGTTAAGCCCATTCGACCAGTTCTTCACTGTTATCTATTTCTATTGTATTTATATATCTAATTTATTATAGAAATATATATTTGAACAAGTAGTTCTCTTAACTTACTCAGAGTCGTCTATTTTATAGAGAGTTAAGAAAGATACAAGATATTTCACAATGAAATATGTATAAGTATTACTTTGAAATATCTTTTCCAAATAATTATCACTCCAGTAAATTACACACACAAAGTATTTGATCTACATAACACGTGTTGAGTTGAGAAAAATTCAATCTCATAAAACATCGTCGATGAAAACCTTTCTAAAGTCAGTTTCATTAAAAATGTCGCTCCATCTCCTCACAAAGCAGAGACTCAATGATATTTTTAATCTCGTGCGGTAACAATGGATCTGGCATTACACAGGGGAAATGTTAAGCCTTACTCAGGCTCTACCTCGCTATCGTTGTATCGGTAACCAAAAATAAGTTTACAATAAAGTTGATCTTACTTTGTTAGATAAGTCATGGCTGAAGGGTAAGTAAGATATGAAAGACAAGTCATGATGTTTTGGTCTTTTGAAATAGTAACGCATAATGCATAACAGGTGCCATGTGATGTGATGTCCGTCATGCTGTTCTTATGTATATAAACAAATGTTCATACTTACTATCGTTATCCCCTTCGATCGATCTGCCATCCAATTTAAACAGGAATCAAAATTACTATGGTCTGTGCCGAGGTTCGAACCCCTAGCGGTGCTCTCAGACTAAAGTCGTACCCGTCAAGAGGGAGATGACCTTCAGCCGCTTCAAAAGTCCTACCGTGGGTTTAGAGTGCAATTTACACCCGCCCCCTATCCTCGGGTGAAACTATAAAGAGTAGCTGCACCCAACAGCTTTATAGTAGTCCGAAAAAGAAAACCATCATTGTATGACATTCCAGTAAGAAAAATATTCTCTATCATACCATTTACCATATTTCATATAAATAATGTTATAAATGTAGTGAATTTGTAACATTATCTTCTTATTCCACTGATTTCGACGAAAATATCATTAGAAATAATAATTATTAAATATACTTCAAAGAATCTAATCACTTTTGAATTACTCCAACGAATTCTACGAAAATATCAATAGAAATAATCATTATTGAAATAAACTTAATTTAATCACTTTTGAATAGTATTTTTCTCACTCTATAACTCGGAATGTAGATTCGTCATAATAATGCATAAAATATTTGACTGTTGCCCTTTTGAACAGATAAGACGAACAACTCGTTTTACATTATTAAGATTGTGAGAATACAATTTACGAATTATCTGGCATTAATGTACAAAAATATATTAATAAATTACCGTTAATGCTTAAGTAATAAAAAAATCAGTCATATTGTTCAGAAAAGACCAATCCCCACAAGTAGCACCCGTTCATGTATGCCGTCATAGCTGAGCTTATTTTGTTACACTATTAAGATAATACTTAAACTAAAAAAAATGCAAAAATGTAAATCGACTCTAAAATTTCAAATATACAGTCTAGTTTCAATAATTTGTATTAATTGAGTAGATCTGCTGTACTGAGGATGACGATATCGTCTTTCATAAAGTAGACCCCTCTGTACTCCTCTCCCTCTCAAATTAATAATAATTTGTATAAATTAGACGTAGTAAACCATTGATAGAATTCCATAGATATATTTATTTGTGAATACATAGAATACATCCAAACTAATGCAAATATTTATAGTCATGAATACAAATATTTCTACCGTGCAAAGCATGAAACCCACGACCATCGGAAGGAAAGCTATGACTTAAATCGCTAGACAACGAAGCCTTCAAATTATACTTAATACGATATTAATTGTCTTATTATTATCTTTTCAGAGCAGAGTAGATCGTTTGAATATATATACAGGAGAAGATCAGTATAGGATTATTAAGGAATTCTGTGTAAGTATTAATATATAAAATATAAATATAATATTTTTCACTATTGTACTTAACACATAATTGATAAGTTGAAGAATGGGAACTATTAGTTATGGAAAATCTTGGCAATATTGGCATCAACCTCTGACCTCCATGCAGGGTCTATGTAGAATCATGCTATAGTTGTTATTTCCCTTGTGGATTTGCCATTATATGCTTAAGTAACATACATCATGTACATTCATTCATACTGAAACTATGCGCTGGCCGAATATCAAAAAATAATGTTCACCATCATCAAGAAAATGAAAGCTAAGAAAAATATTTTGTTAAATTTGTATCAACAACAATAGAAATTTTGAAAACCTTCATTTTCAATAACAGATGGTCAGATTTATATATACTCTTTCTTCTTTATTGCACTTGTAACTGAAAATAGTATATGGATGTTAGTTGAAAGTGACGTGTTGAAGTGAGTTTGAAGAATTTTATAATCTAAATTGAGCGGCATAATAATTCAGGAGAGACTGAGATAGTCCACAACTTACATAAAAAACTCTTACTCAGCAGTGAGCAACGTTAATAAGAACATGAAAGAAAATAAAAAATATTAATTTATTTACAAAATAATTATAGACAAAAGAAAGAAAAACTACACAATTGTAAATAATATTTGTATATTTTTTTCAGAATTTACCAAGCCGGGGTGACACTGATCCATACTTGCTAATAGGTCAGTGATCTTAATTTACAGTAACACCGATTTTTATGATAAGAATTTATTTATTTTCCTGAACTGAATGCCACAAAAAATCTTAGTTGTTGATGTCATGTGGAACTTGTATATTTTATATGGTACATAGAAATAAATGTTATATCTCCTTATTTTTAAGCCTGTGTGTACTTTAGATGATATAGCATAAGTAGATAATATTTAATTTACCTCAATTTTGAGTTCATTATAATAAATAATTATAACTTTAATATAAAGTAGTACAGTGGTGGTACAAATACATTATAATAGCTTAATGTAATAACATTACAAAATTACATAAAACTTATTTATCAACATTTTACATCACTTTTACAATAATTTATTAAAAAACAGTACCAACATTTAGAAAAAAAATGTCGGCAGCGATAGCGATTCCGAATAAAGGGAGCAATATAAAAATTATTCAAAAATATGTACACAGGTGTGTTGTGTTACCAACACGGTCTAATTAATAAAAGTAAAAAAATATATAGCCGTATAGTAAATTACCAATAAATAAATAAATTCTTCTAAATAAATAAATAATTTTAAATAAATGTATATTGTTTTCCAGGGCAAAGTCAGAAATGTATATAATGTATCAGTGTTGACTGAAAATCAATCTTCAATTTCACATCCGTAAAAGTATTATCAGATCTATTTTATAACACTGATGTAATTGTTAATGTTATGTACTTTTTCAATTTCAGAGCCTGAAAAAGGTGACAAAGGCGCTAAAGTAAGTATTAAATAATAAACTAAGACAAACTCAAAGTTATTATTAAAATGATAAAACATCAAAATCGTAGGCTAAAACTTCTGTCTCATCAATCCGGTGAACTAATTAATTCGTAAAATTTGTTTTGGGTATTCCCTTCGACGAGGTATGACATTAAAATTACAAGCTTTAGAGGTATAACATGCTATGCTATAACATGTTAGTTCTCCGGAATGGCAAGTATGATTGACAACACATCTTAACGTGATGTCCGTGTACGCTGTTCATATATAAAAGTGACGATTTTCATTTGTCATCAGGTGACCCATGCTTGTATGCTATTCTATTTACATGAAAAAAGCATATTTTATAAAAGTCCAAATAAGTTTAAACATTGTTTTCTATGTGAAAAAGATACTTATTTAGTAATAAAAACACCTAACATTATTTTTACACAGGGTGAACCTGGAAAATCAGTGGCCGGTCCATCAGGGTCACAAGGACCTGAAGGTCCCAAAGGTCCACATGGCCCGCCTGGGCCAAAAGGAGAGAGAGGAGTGAGTGCCAATTATTTTATTATATCTTTATATTATAAAAATATGTATTTTAGAACAACTTTACTATATTTTTTTTCAATAGTTAATTCTGTTTATTAAATTCCTTGCGTATACTTCATTTATTTTAATATTGAATTCACGATTAATATTTAGATATGGGTAGTTTATATTCAACTTCGATATATAGTATTTTTTGCGAATATTAACTAAACTAAAACAATAACAATGCTTATATTGACAATGACTTTTTATTTCTTTAGGCATGTGAATGTTCGAAGTCTGAGATAAAATCAGTCCTTATGAAGTCATTACCAGATATGAGGGGATTACCTGGACCTCCTGGGCCTCGAGGAGATAACGGCGAACCAGGAGTAATTGGTACGCCGGTTAGTTTAAACTACGTATACAATAAAATAGTAAAAAAACCTACTTTCTGTTGTATGATATTCAAATAGGTAAAACACTACAGTGATGTTAAGATATTCTTAAAATGTTTAATGGTCTAGAAACATAATTAATAGATATTGGCATAAAAAATTAAATATTCATTTAATTTTATTTTTATAAAGTAGGTAAAGCGCAGTATTGGTAATATTAAATTTTAAGTCTTTCTTACTGTCCCAGTATGTTCTCCGCATCATATTTATCACCGCATAATATTTGTTTACCATTGCAAAATTTATTTATTACTAGCTGTACCCGCGACTTCGTCCGCGTGGAATTTAACTTTATTTTTGTAAAACAAAAGTAGCTTAAGTTACTCCTTATTACATCAGCTATCTGTTAAATAAAGTCCCGTCAAAATCAATCCAGCCCTTTTAGATATTAGCCGGAACAAAGAGACAGACAGACAGACAAAAATTGTAAAAGATGAAAAGTATTGCAACTGGAAAAAAAGAAGAAAATTTTCTTTCTTGGTGAGCTTTTGTTGAAGGTTGTATCAACTCGATTTAGTTCTATCATTTAAAAAATGTTAGTCTGTCATGCTACAAATAGTAAGTTGTTGTGTTTTACGCGTCGAGTTATCCAATTTCGCTGCCCTTTTCTGTAATAAATAATATCGTAATAAATTATGCTAGATAATTTGACAAAAACCTTTTATAATTTTCCTTAGGGTCATCGAGGTGAACAAGGAATACAAGGGGATAAAGGTACTAAAGGTGACAAAGGCGAAATGGGGGACTTCGGTCCACCAGGAAAAGATGGATCACCAGGCAGAGATGGTACACTTGGCCCGCGGGGACAACCAGGACCACCAGGAGTACCAGGTACCTGTAAGGTGATTGTAGAAGCATTAATAATGTATAATTAATGAATATATTGATTGAAAAATAAATTAATATTCTGGATTGTGTAATGTTCATATGACACAGGTCGCGGAAAAATCAAAAGAGGTATATGTAGCTGGAGAAAGAGGTGATCCGGGGCCACCTGGTAAACCGGGAGACCGGGGTGACAAAGGTGAATGGGGAATAAAGGGAGATAAGGGTGATCAGGTAAACATTTGCTTTTATATGTTTTTATGTTTTATTTAATTAAGTTTAGAAAGGTTCTTCGAAAAGAAATGAAGGAAATAAAATGCAAGGACAAGAGTTTTACTATTGCTCTTAATATTCTAGCCCTGTTATATTATTATATTCCATCTAGATATCTTCATATCTGGGCTTAATATTTGTAAACCACATTTGGTCGGAAATTAGTCACTGATTACAATTATTATTCAGGGTCATAAAGGATCAGAAGGATTGAAAGGAGAAAAAGGAAAGACAGGTGAACGAGGCTTCGACGGAAATCCTGGTACCCCTGGATATCATGGAACTGCTGGTAATAAAGGTAAACTGCTTTAATATACGGCATACTGATGGTAGCTATTAACTTATATCGTTTATTCATTATTGTTACCTTAATTTACTTGTAAATACTTTCAACCAATTGCGAAATTCATATGACTATATACGTATTTTTTGTATGAATGTTACGACAGCTTCACCGAAGTTTAATGAATTTTTATGATTTTTTAGTTATGGCTAAACATACGTTTGATTCCATTAAAAAATATTAACTATTGACAGATTGCCATTTAGGTAATAAAACTTATATGTAATCATCAATCAACATTTATTGTATCCTAAAGAGCCATACATATTTACATTGATAAAAGCTTAGAATTGAAGTTTAACTCAGGATGAATTTAATTTAAGCTTTTAGAGAATCTTTAGAGAAAAGAGAGAGATAATCTTTAGACATTCAGATGTCTAAAGATTCTCTATAAACCTATCGATACTTTTCATTATATTTTCAAATGTTTAAACATTTTATTGTAATAGACTAAATATTTTACTTTTACATAAAGTGATTGTTCACTGTAATTGCAGTGTATTTTATTTATTAAACTGTGAATTTTATTTTTTTCTTATAATTATTTCAGGCGAAAGAGGGGAAAAGGGTGAAACGGGTTCACCCGGCATTCCAGCAAAACTCTCTTCAATATTGGACATCGAAATAGACCCTGCCGAAAGTAAGACTCGGATTTATTCAATCGACACAAATTTCTTCACGCGCCCATACAATTTACTGCTTATTTAGACCTTTCCATTCTAGTACAAAAGATAGATGACCTGAATAAATTTCAATAACAAACAAAAGCATTCTGGTCACGTGAAAGTAATAACGTAAGTAGATTGAAACCCCTAACATTTTTTGCTACTATTGGCTTTGATCCTTATCCTAACTCGGTAGTCGGTACTGCTATATCAATTGAACCTCATAGGATAGATATATCTGCCTCTTTCAAACGTTATGCATAGTGATAGAGATAGACTGAGTATGTGCCACAAAATTCTTTCGTTCAGATAAGTGTATACCACGTCTGGCTATGTCATTTTTCGGTCGAACGGAACGCATTTGAGATTCTTTTATCTAAATCAATTTCTTTGTTTCTTTATCCTTTATTTGTTTTACATGTATCGTCGTAAGCAAGCGGAAATATCATTTGTTCCACTTATATAACTAAGTTCGATAGCCAATATTACTTTATAGGGAAAACGTTTCCTATGACAAAAAATATTTCGGTAATTGGATATGTAACTGAAATAGAACTATAATTATTATGCAATTTCAATACATGAATTGCAGAAATATCACATGAATTTATAAACATTTAATACCTTTTATAATAACCGAGCGCCTAAACTAGACTATACTATACTATACCCTGGTGATATAATTCAAGCCAATTTACTAGTTCCTCTCTTAAATTTAACTCAATGAATCGATGATCTCAAGTGTCATAAAGGTTGTGTATTTATATTAAATTACTACCGATATTCAGCAGTATTTTAGTCATTTGTAATCCTAAGATACTATCTACATAAATGTACACTAACTTTCAATAAGTAACTAAACATTTTTCCATTTGTATACATTGTTGTTATTTTGGTCGTAATAAAAGGCAATGTTTCAATTTTCAGGAAAAGAAATAGTTAACAAACTTTTTGACTTCAAAGGAGAACTTGGACTATCAGGAGAAAAGGTGATAGAAATTAACTCACATATAGTATTTTACTTCTTACTAATATTATAATTATTTTTTTGTATACTACGATGGTGGCAATCAAGCACACAGCCTAAGCATGGCATGCATAAGGTAAATTGTTACCGTAGCCTATGAACGCCTGAATCACGGATGATATATAAATGCGGATATTTGTGTGGGGGAGTGGGGATGGATGAATGGCTGGATGTTTCTTACTTTTTTACGCAAAAACTACCGAATGAATTTTCATAAAACTTTACAATAATATAACTTATGATTAACATATAGGCTATAAATTTCACGCAATGCTAGTATGTAATAATTGTAGAATTCTCTGTAAAGTGACTTTAGTGACTTCTTGTAGAAACTAAATGCCGTAATTGTGAAATGAAAAGATGACCAAGTGCAGCTATTTTTAGACAATCTGTTATCTAAGCCTAAATATAGAGAAAGCGTATTCTATTGTTAAAACGTTATAATATTGTAGAAAGTTAATGGTTTTATGTTTATTATTCCTTTATACAAAAAATATTTGGAGACAATTTGTTTGGTAACATGTGTAATTATTTTGTCGTTATAATTTCGTTCATAGTTTCTATCAAATTTATATATCATTCATATTTCTATCAATTTAATCTAAATTTAGTTTTATCCTGTAGATATTATTCATGTTTCGATAACAATCTGAAATGTCATGTAAATGAATTAATTTGCCTATCTTAATTTTTATTTAAATTTGTAAAAAAATTTTTTTTCCTGTTTCCAGTTTAAAATTAAGCTATTTATTTAATAATTCTAACACAGTCTGCAAATAATTAATTTACTTAAATTGTTTATCCTATTTGAAAAATATTTGAATTTAATTATTAGTTAAACAGTTGAATCGTTAATTGTTTGCAACATTAGTTTTGTTAATAATAAAAAAATATATGCACTTTAAAATGTTACTAGCTATTACTTCCATTAAAATTGTTTCTTTTATTTTATAGTAAAAAATAATTTTCTTTTAATAGACAAATGATATTAGGAAATCATTTGACTGCCGTTTACAATACTTTTAACAATAATTTAAACACTCGTGGCTGACCTTGGAAAGAGTTTAACTTTAGATAGCTATTAATCTACAATTGATACTACCAAGTAATCGATGAAGGGAGTTTAAACTTGAGTTTACCACCAGACCACCATTGATATTACGGTAACGGCTTAAAACAGTTATGACTGTGAGTTTGAAGCCAAAAGCAGTTTTGATACTTAATATTTATAAATATTATATTATAAAATATCAAATAAAATAGCCAGTATATAATCTAATAAATTAATTTAACTTTATCTCGGTGATCCAGCGTTTTAACACAGCGCTGTACTCTCGATGGTCGCGGGTTCGATTCCTCACATTGTGCAAACATTTGTATGCCTGTTTGTAGATATGTGGGTACTTTGATTATTATAATATGGGAGGTACTTAATTAGAATGATATTAGAAATAAAGCAGTCATAGCTCAGCACAGTTGTTTGATTGACGTCTCCTTTATACGAACATACATAACATGGCGCAGTCGGTCAAAAAGTAAATATTATACATATAGCTCTTAAACTTTGAATAGTGAACAGACTTAGTGCGTGTGTTCGTGAATTAAAATGGAGCTTGCCTTTACACCTCCACAGCCATTTGATTTTGAAAATAGTCTGACTAATGTCACTTCCGGAAATTTGAGTCGAGAATGGGAGCGTTGGAAGAAATCTTTTAATATCTACTATGAGGCGTGTGAAATATCAAAGAAGAGTGACAAAGTACAAATTAATATTCTATTGCATGTCATTGGAGATAAATGCAGAGAAGTTAGTGAACAATTTACTACAGAATACAAGAATGTAACGGAATTATTAAGGTTATTTGATACATTTTTTATACCGAAAAAGAACTTGGCGGTGGAACGACAAAAATTTTTCAAACGGGATCAAAAAGAATTTGAGTCCGTCGAACAGTATGTATTTGAGCTAAACAAGATTGCATCTACGTGTGAGTTAAGAGATTTAAGGGACGATTTAATATGCAGCAGATTGATATGTGGGCTTAGTGACGTGGCCCTTTCGGAACGATTATTGAGGGAACCGGAAATAAATCTATCGAAAGCATTGGAAATTTGTAGACTAGCTGAAATGTCTCGTATGCAAGCAGCGAACATTCAAAATAAATGCAGCAGCCATCAGATACATACAATTGCACAAAATATGGAGAATAATCAATCAGTGAGGGCAGACATGGTGAAACGTAGTAATAAACAACGGGTTCGAAGCAGCGATGGAAGCTGGCGTTCGTCGAGCGAGCAACCCCCCTTCCCGCCTTGGATCGGCGTTACGCTGCTGGTGTCGCGTTTTCAAATACACGTTATCGTACTAATACTTCAGTGAACTCACAAAACAATAACAGATCACGTCCTACAAAAGTAGTGTCGCCAGTTCAAAGGTCACATCTTGAGTTCGTTAAGTGTAAAAGTTGTGGATTAATGCACAGACGTAATGAGTGTTCTGCATATGGAAAATATTGTAATAAATGTGGAAAATTACATCACTATGCAAGAATGTGTACAAATTATATTTACGCCGTGAGGGATGACTCATCCGATCAGGTAATTTTTTCTATAAATAATAAAAGTGATGTCTGGTCGGTAGACTTAGAAATTAGTGGCCAAATTATTAATTTTAAACTGGATACCGGCGCGGACGTAAATGTATTACCTAAAAAATTACTTTATATGCTAAAAATATACGAAATTCAATTAACAAATACATCAATGAAATTGCATGGCTATTCAGGAAATAAAATTAAAGTTTTAGGTAAATGTTTTTTAAAGGTTTTACATAAAGATATTTTTTATTATTTACAATTTATTATTGTTGATGTTGAGTCGCCCCCTGTGTTAGGTAGAAAATCTTGTGAGGAGCTTTATTTATTAAAACGAATATTGTCAATTAATCAACATCCGTCCATCAGCAGTCAAAATATTTTAAATGAGTTTCCCGCCGTATTTGAAGGTATAGGGTGTCTACCGGGCGAGTATCAAATAAAATTAAGAGACGACGTGTCTCCAGTCATTCATGCACCTAGGAAGTTGCCATTAGCGCTAAAGGACAAAATAAAAAATAAACTTTTAGATATGGAGAAAAATGGAATTATTGCCAAAGTAGAGGGACCCACAGATTGGGTAAATAGTATGACTGTAGTTAGAAAAACAAATGGTGATTTGCGTATATGTTTAGACCCACGGGACCTAAACAAAGCGATAAAAAGAGAACACTTTAAACTCCCTACTTTCGAAGAGGTAACTGCGAACCTTTCAGGGTCAAATTATTTTAGTACTCTTGATGCAAAACATAGTTTTTGGCAATTAAAGCTACAAAAAGATAGTTCGGACTTGTGCACTTTTAATTCGGCGCTAGGTCGTTATAAGTTTTTGAGAATGCCGTTTGGTATCTCATCAGCATCCGAAATATTTCATAAACGACTGTATGAGCATTTTGATGACTTGGAAGGGGTTGTATTATTCATTGATGATTTATTAGTTCATGGTCCCACTTTAGAAATTCATGATAAAAGATTACGAGCTGTATTAAAACGATGTGCTGAAATAAATATAAAACTCAACAGAGACAAATGCAAAATAGGGATGTCGGAAATAACGTATCTTGGCCATAAAATTAGTAAAAATGGAATAAAACCTGATGACACGCGAATTTCTGCAATAAAAAATATGCCTACACCTACAAATGTAAAAGATGTTGAACGATTTCTTGGTTTAGTTACTTACGTTGGTACCTTTATTCCAAATTTGTCTGAAAAAACTTATATTTTACGTGAACTATTAAAAAAAGAAATTGAGTGGCATTGGGACGATCGTCACCAAAAATGTTATGAAAACTTAAAGCATTTTTTAGTTAACCCACCTGTTTTAAAATTTTATGACATAAACATACCAGTAGTGATAACTGTAGACGCGAGTAAAAACGGTTTAGGTGCCTGTTTAATGCAAAATAATAACCCGGTGTGTTACGCCTCGAAATCCCTAACGAAAACCGAGCAATCGTACGCTCAAATCAAGAAAGAACTTTATGCATGTGTTTTCGCTTGTGAGAAGTTCTATACGTATATATACGGCCGCTCAGATATAACGATTGAAACCGACCACAAGCCACTAGTGAGCATTATAAAGAAACCATTAGCAAATGCCCCCGCCCGTCTGCAACGAATGTTATTACGATTGCAACCGTACTCGTTTACACTCGTGTACAAACCAGGCAAGTACCTGTACATTGCAGATGCGCTGTCCCGTGCCGTCGCTACAAACTCTGACCCCCCCACCCCCGCGCGCGATTACTATGAAACCCAAGCGCAAGTGTGTATGGTAACTGCAAGTAATCCGTTGTGTGACTCTCATTTTTTAAAAATTCAGAAATATACTAAAAATGACGATGTCTCACAGGCGTTAATTAGTATAATACGAAAGGGATGGCCGTCAGATAAAAGTAAGCTAGAAGACAGATTAAAATGTTATTGGGATAGCAGGGATGAATTGTCTGTAAATTTTGGCATAATTTGGAAGGGATCTCGGGTGGTTATACCTAACTGTATGCGCCGGGAGATGCTTGAAAAGATACACATAGGACATTTAGGAATCGAGAAGTGTAAACTTAGAGCACGAGAAACCATGTACTGGCCGAATATGACATCACAGTTACAAGATTTTTTATCAAATTGTCAGTCGTGTTTAACATATAAAAATCAAAATACTAAAGAGCCGTTAATTCCTCATGAGATACCTGAGAGAGCTTGGTATAAAGTTGGAGTAGATTTATTTCACTTTAGTAATAAAACATTTTTAATAATAATAGATTATTATAGCAAATATTTTGAAATAATTGAATTACAAAATCAAACTTCAAATCATGTAATCAATAAATTAAAATTAATTTTTAGCAGGGTTGGTATTCCAGAGATCATAATGTCTGATAACGGACCAGAGTTCTCGTCGATGTCATTTAGAGATTTCGCTCGTCAATGGAATTTTGACTACGTGACGTCTTCGCCTAGGTATGCACAGTCAAACGGACAAGTCGAGCGCGCGATCCAAACGGTTAAAAACATCATGAAAAAAACGTTGCATAATCGTACTGACTTTAATTTGGCAGTACTAGAGTTTCTAAATACACCGATTACTAAGGATATACCGTCACCCGCAGAGTTATTTTATAATAGAAAGCTACGCAGTATTATTCCTTGTAATCCAAATATGTATAGGCCAAAGATAAACCACGATGTCATTAAGAAACTTAAAACTCGGCAAAATGCGCAAAAACTCGTGTACGACAGAACTGCGAGATTATTAAAGCCACTTTGTATTGGACAGAAAGTGAAAATTCGTCTGAACAATTGCTGGATACCAGGTACAATTTCAGGCATAGTAGATCCAAGATCTTATTGCATAACGTTACTTTCAGGGGGTATAATTAGGCGCAATAGAAAACACATTATAATAGATTCGAATAGTAGGGATGTTACCATAAGTTATCCCTCTTACGATGATATAATGCCTACGGCCACTTCCAACGTACCGTCACCTGACCATCCACCATTAGATTATAATAATTGTTATCGTACTCGTTTCGGCAGGATAGTTCGGCCTCCTGATCGGTGGGGATTCTCCGCGGAAAACGCTTCAAGGTCATGATATTGATAGGACATGACAACAATTAAGAGTAACACGTACACCTGTTACCTACTGTTAAATGTAATTTATTGATATTTGAATAATAGTCTAAATTTTATATTGTTTAATTCATTTTTCATAGAAAATAAATATGTAAAATCTTAATTATGAACTGCATGATGAAATAATAAATACCTATGTATGCTATTGAATTGTATTAAATCAAGTTACTTACGTTGTAATAATAATATTTGTTTAGATTTTTTTTATGTTCTTTATTGTATTCAATTCAATAGTATTATTATTCTAATTTAAATTTATCAATTTATATTAAGTTTTTATAATTAATTGAATATCTATTTGCATGTATTTATATTTCAAAACATGAATAGATAAATTATTGATATATGATATAGATGATTCTAGAAATAATAAGTTGTATCTTATTTTTTTTTATGGATCCAATTATTGTTATATGATAAACATTTTCTTATATGATATAAAAAAAAATTATTTGTAAAATTTACTGCGAAAATTTAATTTTGATAAGGGGATTGTGGGTACTTTGATTATTATAATATGGGAGGTACTTAATTAGAATGATATTAGAAATAAAGCAGTCATAGCTCAGCACAGTTGTTTGATTGACGTCTCCTTTATACGAACATACATAACAGGTTTGTATTTAGTCTCTTGTATTATTAAATATAATGCGTATCATTATATTTTATATATATTCAGATATGGCGTTTAAGTTAAAATTTACTTAGCAAGATGTGGACAAAACACTTGACACCTTACATTCACGACGACGTTCTCAGTTGAAAATATCTGTGACTGCCCCGTCATTAATTAAAGCACTGTAATATTTACATGTATTACATTTTAGGGGACGAAAGGTGACCCAGGTTTACCAGGTAGTCCAGGACCACCAGGAAATGATGGTAAGAATGGTAATCCGGGAGCTAAAGGTGGAACAGGACCGCAAGGGAAAAGGGGTCCTAGTGGACACAAAGGATCAAGAGGACCGCCAGGGCAGAAAGGTGCTACTGGATTACAGGGACCGCCTGGTCCTTCAAGAAATTTGGACACAAAGGTAATTCAAACATTTTTTAATAATATTGTGCAAATTATTTTTTATCAGCATCTAGCATTATTTAATTATTTAATATTTATGTAAATTGAATTATTAAACTAGGAAAAAACGTAATTTCGTACTTTTAGTACTTGATATGGATATAATATTTTAAAATTATTTATCAATTTGACATTTTTAACCTTTCAAACATTTATTTTCACTATATGGTAATAGTAATTGAAACTTGCAACTTAGTCCGCATGACCGGAAGTAATTAGTTGACATTCGTCTCGAATGGATCGTGTATACCAATTCCCAAGATGATTGGATTTAGCTATTAAGCCTCTAATAATGTAATTAAATAAATAAACAAACACTTTTGCATATTTTATTTTTTCTACGATAACTATTAGTATTATCTGTATTATATAATATTAGTATTTTTAGTTTACATTATTAGTATATAATGATTACATTTCTCGAAACAGGGTCTCAAAGGTGATCGAGGTATTTCGGGCCCTGCAGGACCAAAAGGAGTAAAGGGGGATATTGGGCCTAAAGGAGATGCGGTAAGGATTTCTTCCTTCTTTTACTTAACTTTTTATCGTAAAGACTCAACTGTATATAATAAAAAATACTAGTAATGTTTCTTAAACATAGCAAGTACAGCTTTCCTCCATAATTATAGTAATTTATCCATATGTACAGAAAACTACTTTAAAGAGTCACATTTTATAAGAATAAATTATAATTCAGGGCCTCTGTGGTCCAGCGATTTAGAAAACCGCTTTACTTTCGAAGGTCGCGCGTTCAATTTCTCGCATGATACAAACATTTATATTCATGAGTATAAGTATTTGTTTTCTAAGTATATTATGTTATGTATTTATACTAAAAAAATAATAGGTATACAGTTATCTAGAACCCATATCACAAGCTCTGTTCAGCTTATCTATTATACTATATTATATCATATTATATTATATTAATTAATGTTATTGACTATATCAATAGATTAAAGGAGACAAAGGTGATCAAGGAGGCATTGGCAAACGTGGCGAACCCGGCCTTCAAGGGCCAGCGGGAGTATGCACTTGTCCGAATACGACGACTATCCCCACTGCCGGCCCGCCTGGCCCTCCAGGACTACCAGGATTACCTGGACCTAGAGGACCCCCAGGTTTACCAAGTCCCACGGTATCGGGGCCAAAAGGAAATGTAGTAGTAAACACTTTTACAGGTGAAAAAGATGTCTTTTCAATCAACAGTGAATCCAATCAACACCCAATAAGTGAGTTTGTCTTGTAAATAATTTTAATGATTATGTGTATTTTTAAGTGCATTAACATTTAAAATAAACAAGTCTAAAATAAAATAAAACTAAATTAAATTATTTCAAAACTAATTTGTTTTGAAATAATTTATATACCTCTGTTGTACCAACCAATTAAAATTGAGTAAAAGATAAAATTTGTTTTGTTTAAAAATACTATTAATTTTTATGTTTCATATTTCAGTCAGTGAGACGAATCATCTAAACGATGACGATTTCTACAAAACAAATACAGTTGTTTTTAGAACGAGAACAACTCTCTACAAGGTGAGTACAAATATTAATATTTGCGTATTATTCATAAGGGCGAAGGGATGTTTAGCAGGCGGGTTGGCAACCGTCTACATACTTCTGTGCGCGTGATCTGAATATCTTGATTAGCTGATATAAAAAATAGCCCATGTCCTCTATGTTAAATACTACATATATCCCAAATTTTATTATGATTAGTTAAGCTGTTAGACTACTAAGTATAAACGAATTAACTCTCATATTTATAATATTAGTAAGTATTGTTTACTTACTTAATATACTATGATTTATAATATAAAAGTAAACTGATAATATAAACAAATTATTACAATAATTAATTACTAATATATACCAATGTCGCAATACTTATCATGAATGAATGAATGAATATTTCTTTATTTCTCCAACAAATATTAATAAATATATATTTTTGTTAAATTTGTATGTTACAAACAACAGATCTGGTTTACATGTGACCAGTATTAGCACATATGCATTGTCATTCCCGAGGAGTAAGAAGTCAAGCCTGTATACTTTGTGATATCAGTAACTTATCCTTTAATCGATACATATCTTACGAAATAATCAACTTAGTAGTTGAAATAGATGAGACAGAAGTACCTATGCAGACAACTTTATACAAAGTTTACATCGGTAAGACTGTTATTACTGTTATTAGTATACAATATTTTAAATATCAGATCAGAAAGAAAAGAAGTCAAGTGGTCATAGATAATAATAAAATTAATACTTACAGAAATCGTCCAGCATGCTATTGGGGACATTGGCTTACATTATACATGAGAAAGTATTATTGGTAAAGGTGGATAATGGATGGCATCGTGTTTTGGTAATCATTTTATTTGTATATTTGTAAAAACATATTGCAGAGTAAAACTTCTTTTTATCATATCCTTCGAGTAAATATATAAAAAATATACAAATATTATCTCCTCAAAACATCAAGTTTCGTTGTTTTACCTTATTGCATTGTATAATTTTATTTTGTTTGCGTTGTGACGTAGTGGTTTGCTACCCCGGTTTACACCGAAGTCATCATGAGTTCAAACTAGCTATGGTGTTCTGGCTAACACCAAAATAACTTTGAGTCTCTATTTATATTTTTAACTAATTATTCATTAAAGCTACGATATCAACCAAAAAATAATCCTAAAGACAGCAAGAAGCTTGCTCCCTGCCATGTTGGATTCAGCCAGCGCAAACCATAATGCACGCAAATTACCAATGGATTATCAACCATTAATAGAAGTATATATATGTACTTAGCGAAATATTTACGTTCACAACAATTACTTAACAGTTGACAATGCATTTACTACATTTGGGAAACCGTTGTGACAGTATTTTTTTATATTTGAATTTTAACAAGTAATAATTCTTTTGATCTTTCTTTTGTTTCATATTTTGGCATGGCAAATAATCAACCCCTTTTAGCGATTTTAAAACTACCTTTCTTTCTGATGGTAGCGGGTTCGATTCCTCACACGGTGCAAACATTGGTATTCTTGAGTATGACTGTCTTTTTTTTGTGTATATTCCGTATATACACATTTATATACGGAAAGAGATTAAAGAGGAATTTAAGTTTTGTTAATATCAGTGGTATAACACAAGCTCTGCATAGCTTGAGTCTAGATGGGACTGTGTGGATTGTACAGTGTTATTATTTATTATAATGTAATTATTTTACAGACGGATTCATTTATAAAAGAGCACACTACCGGGGCATCTTCATACCGAAGGCCATCCCGACATGACGGTCCAACCAGAACACTCACGAACTGTGTGAAAATGGGAACTTGTGTAAATAATTATTTATATAGAAACATAATAATAATCTTCCTTCCAATAGCGGCCTTAGTAGTTTAGCGGTTAAACACATCTCCTTATTTCCGATGGTCGCGGGTTTGATTCCTCGCTCAAATATTAGTAGACTTTTTTCTATGTATACTATATAAATATTTATGAAAATAACGTATTTAAAAGTATTTCTATCAGTCAATTAGTATATGTGTAATATTTTCTTTCTGTGATATAGCGTACCTTCCTTGTGATGTTAATTTTGATTGTAACAAATATTTCAAAGCATGTTATTTCCTATTAGACATAATTAAGACTTATCTGTAAAATTATGACTAAAAATCTAGAATGTACAATGTACTGACTAAAAAAACATAAAAAATGTATCAGTTGAGTCTTGCCACTCCATCCCCAATTCTCTACTTACAGAGTTAGATGGGAGAGATAGTGATAAAAATGTAATGTGCACAAGAAGCCGAAAGGTCCTATGTTAATAAAAAATTTAGTTTGAGGGTTTTGTATTACTATACAGGATTACAAATTTATTTAATTGTTACAGATACGTATCGCGGCTTTGAATAGAGCCTATTCAGGACGTATTTCTACAAATGGCAACATTGTAGGCGTGCCGGCCGCTGAAAACGAATGCCATATACAGGCAAAAAATATTAATTTAAAAAATTTTACTCCATTTATAGCTCGCAGGTATGTTTGAATTGTTTAGTGCATTATATAGTTAAAAGTCTAAAAAATATATCAACTGAATTTGAAGGATTTAACATTTAGAAAAGATTCACATGAATTTTTCTCAAGTGTATGATAATGGAATAATGCACCCGTTTGTTCTGATGGTATATACTGGATAGGCACCAGGAGCGATGATAAAATGTGTATCATATTGAGTCAATTAGTCCATCATGAGAAATTTAAGGTAGGCAGGAATTAACCACGACACTTTCCTGGTCCACGTGGAATGTTACATTACTGATATATTTGAGACATATAATAATAAATGTAATTTTTTCTAGCACACAAGCGCTCAGAAAATTGGTGGCAAATGACAAGTTGAAAGTAGTGAATTTAAAAGAAGAATTACTATTCGACTCATGGCATGACATTTTTAATGGATCTGGCGCTCCGTTTCAAAATTGGAAAAACAATATTTATAGTTTTAAAGGGAATAATATTGTAATAGACCACAACATTTGGTATGATTTTTTTTAATTATTTAATTACATGGATAACAATTTTTATTTGTATCTTAGTACACACATATGGGCTTAATTATAAAATTCAAAATATCTTTATCCGTGTAGGTCACATTAGATATACACTCTTATGATTTGTCAAATATACCGTCAGTTCAGAATGATTTCGAGATGAGAAGGACTGACAAGAAACTGTTCTCAAATAAATGTTGTACATTTTTACAAAAAATTTCAAACTTGGGAGAATAGAGTGACCACCAGCAAATGCTATTGCTGAAGCAAATAGCCCTGGCGGGCCGGGTGCTCCCTCTAACGTAATATAAGTAGTATACATTACAGAATATTTTAATCAATGCAATAGAATATGTCTGATTAGATAATGGCTCATAGCTCAGTGTGGAGTCTATTAATCAAAATGGATATTTTATGTTGTTCCTTATTTATTACTGTTTATACTGAAATTTGATTGGGATATTCAGTGGAGAAACGGTAGCTGTAAATACAATTTATTCTTTCATTAGTTTCATCACAACACTTCAGAGATGTCTTTTCCTATGGAACTGTAGGAAAGTACTAATTTCAAATGTGACGGATTAAACTTTTTATTTGAAACAATGTGCCTAAAATTATGAAGTTATTTTATGCTATTTCTATTATTATTTTTTTTTATTACAGGCCTGAAAAAGTAGTTTGGCATGGCAGCAATTTGTACGGAAATTATACAAATGACAATAATTGTTTGAATTGGGAAAATGAGAGTGCTTCGTATTATGGTACAGCATCGGCATTGTATGATAGTAACAACAGCGGTTTACTAAGTCAAACAAAGTAAGATTCTCCTATTTTATCTACAACATACATACAGTTATAAAATATATCTTTATCTTTTATCTTGTATGAATATTAACGCGTTAACTATTTAGTATTATTCAGGCGCGAATCAGCTTTGACACAGAATTGTTACTATCTTATTTTTTCTTTACATAAAAATAAAATTACGTTTATTAATCTCGATAAAACTCGAGAACGGCTGCATGGATTTGGCTAATTTTGGTTCTGAAACATTTGTGGAAGTCCAAGAAAGTGGTAAGAAAATATGATGAAATTTCATGGAAAATAGTAAGATAGACAATTTTACTTTCTCATATAAACTATTCATATCTGTCGAATAGGGTCCGTTCACAAATTTATTGCGTAACCAAACTTCAAAAAATGTAACATATTATTTAATTAGAATAGAAAATAGAATAGAAAATCATTTATTCAAATAAACTTACATTGAAGCACTTTTGAACAGTCATTACATTTTTTTTAATCTACCGCTCGTTCGGAAAGCTGTCTCATCACAAGAAGAACGAGCAAGAAATTTGCGTGTTGCTCTTTTCGAGGCGGAACGGAGTTCACTGTGTCAGTAATAAATAAATATCACTGTAAAATATTTATAAATAAAATTAAACCTGTCTGTGGAAAATGTAATATAAGGGATATAAACACAAAATTATACACGAAAATACGAAAATTCAATACACATGCAATTGCGCGCGAAAGAACGGATAAAAACAATCAGTCATTATTGCCCATTCGTTTCCGATCGCTTGTGAAAGAACGTGTGGTTCTAACATCTATTGTCAAAGCAACTAAATATAGTGAACATATATATGAGTTAAAGGATGATTTTTTTAAATTTACGCGTAAAGCGAAATTTATATGTACAATAATCTTTTTTTTCAGTTATCCATGTGACAGGAAATTTATAATTCTCTGCGTAGAGCAACACCCAAGTTTTATAACCAACGACGTTCTAAGAAGACGAAGACATTTTCCGTAAGTACGGATGGAAGACTGTTTATGTTTGTATGTAAAAAAATGTATATATTTTTATATTAAAGAATATCTGGCCAAGATAATTGGGAGTCGATTCATGTTTGTGTCATGAACGCCTGATAACAATCTGAAATTAATCAGAGAGACGACCGCGACGGTATGCTCCTTACGTCCCACTTTGAACTAAAGTACAAGTATACCCAATGAAAAATGAGTACGTCAGATGTTGCATTAACTACGACCTCAACAGTTGAAATGGTTCTGAATATGTGGAATAATTTTATATTTTAAGCACCACCGAATAAATAATACTAATAAATTGAGCTAAGGAACATCCAGACATAATGAATTAAAAAAAAAAGAAACATCATAATCGGTCCATTTGTTTATGATGCAACAATACCACAGACGGACATACAGATATAATAAACTTATAACTCTCCTTTGTGCCGAGGGTTAAAAAGTTAAAAATACGACTAGAAGTTTTGTTTTATTCTTACATCCTCCAACATTCTACTTGTTTTAGCTATAGGCTATTTATTTGTTTTCTAAAAAGCGATAATTTATAACAATTTAATTTATTTTCAGATCACGAACGAGACAAAGGCAAACGAGATTATAGTACACAATACGTAAAAGATATTGAAGAATATTCAATTATAGTTCTAATTTTAATAATATTTTTAATACGTAAATAAATATAAGATTTATTTAGTCATGCATCATGTTAAGATACTTTCATGATAAAATAATTTATTTTCAATATAACTTTGATTTCACAAAGTACTGAATGTAGGCTTCTAAAGACTAACATAAGAAATTGTCCTGGGCCATTCATATCTTTAATGGGAGTTAAACATAGAGTAGGAACATACGTATTTTTAGTCATCGCTCCATTTAATTAACAGTCGACACTATTAAACTGTACGGGTTGCCCCTGAAAACCATGGTGAATTTACCACTATGGGGTAAATGACCTGGCCTCATACTCATGTTATCATATTGCTTTGTAAACTCTGTTTCGGTTATATGTTGCAGATTAGGCAGTGAAATTGTAGGATAAGAGATACGACGTCGTAGTCCTCTGAAATGATAATGCTTTGGTGGTATCACGGATGTCATATAATAACGTGATGTATATAGATGATAGTTACCGTCTACCATTAGGTGGACCGTCAGATTGTTTGTCATTTGAATTACTTAAAGAAGGTTGCAGATAATAAACTCTACTGCGTTTGATTGTATAGTCCTTTCTCATCGTTCCTCCGTTCAGTTCTTCTCTATGGGCTCTTTAAGTACAGGCTATAAATTACTGTATAACTATAATAACTAAGATAATATATATTAGTAGTTTAGGTTATGAGATGGTAGATGACATTGTTGTTGTTCGATGTATGTAGTATTTAATAGTTAATATTTCCTATCACAAATCGCCGTAACAAACACAAAGAAATCTATGTCTTCTGTGGAAAATACAACAAATTATTGTTGTAATTCTTAAAAGAGACGAATTTCTATCTACTTTATAATCTATATTAATTAAAATTCAAACCAGTGAGATTTACTCCTTTTAGAAATTAAAAATATATATAGTAGAAAATAAAAATATGAGTTGATAATTGAATAATTTAGAAGTGGTTTTTTGGTTATTTTTCGCTATTCTAATGTCAGTAGCTAACTTTTACAGTTTCAACAGACGTAAGATTTAAATTACCTAAATTCTGATATTATTATATGATAAGAATAGTTCTTCGAACTACAATACTTGTTCTATGATAATTCTTGTTAGTTTACGAAAACTTATGATTTATTTTTTATAATTAAGTAAATAATTTAGGCGGTTTCAAAACTACCGCTTTTAAAAGATGTTCATATTACTCCTCACTCTTTAATTTATGTGATTTTCATGTATCCATTAAATATAAGATTAACGTAATTATAATTTATGAAAATTTAATAATCTTTGCTTAATATCACGAAATCTATTTGCGATACCTTTTCTTATTGCATATAAAATATTTATCTACAGATATTATGCCGTCTGCAAAAGTATTGTTGATATTATCTGAATGTCTTCTTTATGATATAATCTTATTGTAGTATAAACGAGAAAGTTTATCACTATTGTTAGATGTTACTCTTTCACGCAAAAACTACTGAACAGATTTTTATGAAACTTTACAATAAATTAGCTTATGCACAGTGCACAGAATAACATATAGGCTATAAATTTCATGCGGGTGAAATCACAGGCACAGCTAGTATAGAATATATTTTCTGATACTCTTTATTATATTTAAAACCAATGATTTTAATTGTATCTATAATTATGTGCCATAATTAATATTTTGTAAGATTTATTGTTTTTAATAAAAAAAATGTTTTATACCTAATTTCATTTCAATTTACCCTATTTGTGTTGTGTACCTTAATATGTGTCGATGTATATCTAATATATGTAATATTTAATAATAATCTTTATTCATAATTATACAGTATATATAAGGGAATATAGTCCTGGCTTTCCGTATAGGTGAACCTGTGCCACGAAAGCCAGTTCCCTACCTATGTTCCCTACATATTTGCAGATAGTTGTGTATATAAAGGAATAAACAAAATATATATAGCACGTCACAAACAATAGGGTATTATTTTGAAGAAACCCAACATTTTTTTTTCGTGATTGAGAAACTAGATTTTTTTCTCTACAAACTGGCAAGACAATGATATTTTTAGCGTACGTAGTTCCAAAGATATGGCAACACATTTCTTTATTGCCTGTTGAAAAGAAAAGCGCGGGAACTTTGAGGCGGGAAGTTCATTTTTTCTACAGTCTTTTGATATTAAATAATTTATAGAGTTAATTAAATCCTAGCCCCGTTTTTGTGCGATAAAAATGGGTGCTGACAGTGGCGGCACCCAAAACAAAAAAGGGATGAGAAATTCTCCTGCTAAACCACCACCAAATAAAAGGAAGAAAGAAGCTACTTTACCACTACCACATGAAGAGGAAAATTCAGATAAAGATGAGGACCCTACATTTTATGCGCCTTATTTAAAACCTAATTATATAAGGAGTTATCAAGAAAATTCACCAAACACAACATTTACTGTATTTATACAAAGCATTAAAGAAGAGGTTAAATTTGGTAATAAAAGTCCAGTTTACTTAAATAATTTATTCAGTAGATATGTAAAAGGAGTCAAGGAATTGAGACGAGTAAATGCACTAAAATATGCCGTAATATTTGACAATGCAAAAATTCATTTACGCTCCAGTCAAAACAATCGCATTATTGTTTACTCAGTTGCCGTTCAACATACACGGTCATCAGACGTCTTCTTCTCGAAATACAGCTAAATCACTGTTAAATTTGGCATGAAAACGTAAAATATAAGTATTTTATAGAATATTATAAGGACTTAATATCCTATTGCCTGTCATATTTAGCACGATTTACTATGTTATCTAGAAATAATATTGTATAGGTTGTAAGGTTTTAATAGAGATATAATTTTTACCGAAATTATATCTAAATGATATTTTATAGCCATCAATTTGTTAGAAATAATATTGTATTACGCGGTAATAGTTGTTCAGTGACCGACTATTATATGAAATATTACTTTATTCTCGGGCATTTATTTTTACTTTTATTTAAAATTTTAGATTAACTCAGAATTATGAAGAAAATTAATAGAACAGAAAGATTGCTGAGGACAGTGCTTTATGATCATGAGAGTAGTTCTGATCACTTCAAAGACGAGAATGATGATCTTTTTACCGATAATGATGACATTAATGATCCAATGTACATTTCCGATAAAAATTGTCTTTCTGAATCTTGTACGTCAATATAATATCCATAAGGGAGTCATCAAACCTGCGAATATATAGTATCTCCTGTTCTTCGGAAATCTTCTCAGCATGTAATAAATTCCTGTGCTTTGATAATTAACAGTCCTTTATTTGAGAGTTTCACAATACTACCCAAAAATATTAAAAATATACAAAATTATTGCTATTAGAATATTATCTGCTGTGATATTATAGGTTTTATCTCTCAACGTATCATCAAACGTTGAGAGATGAAACCTACGATATCACAGCAGAAAATACTCTAATAGCAACAATTTTGTCCGATATAAGCAATCATACAATGCCTAGGATTCCTCTGTATTCCTCATTTTAACAAATTTTATTTGGATAATGACTCTACATAACACAAACCATGTACGACAGGCTCTAAGAATATGAGTACTATAATGGATCGGTGGACTGTATGGGTGTCTAAATGATGAAAACACGTAGTTTGCAATAATAATATATTAATATTGTGCAATTGCGAACTATACGAAAGACAATGATAGAATAATTGAAATGTATCAAAAAACATGACGTATAAAAAGAACTGTTCTAAAAATATAGATTTAAAAATAATAAAAGTATCAAAAGAGGTTGCGGCGGCCGGTCGCCAACAAGTACCATGAGAGTTACTAAAACAATGAAGGTAATTTCCAAGAGGAATCGAAAACTAGGTTAAAATTAGTAGTCATAAGCAAAATGTAGACTGAAGAATTTGCTTAGAACTATAGTTGCGAAGAAATATAGTTTGTTCAATTAACAAAATATATTTTTTCTGTATTATTTAATATGTGAATTTTTATAGGCACCTAATTCCACACGCTGCCAAGCATCAAGCTCCGCTCAATGTATTTTTAAGAAATAGCAAGAATAACGATAAAACAATTATCGTATGGAATACGGAAGCAGAACAAGCATTCCTACAATGTAAACAAGACATGCGTGACATCACAACTATGACGTTTCCAGAGTCGAACGCAACGATCGCATTGATGACTGACGCTAGCTTAAAATGTGTTGGCGCAGTTCTTCACCAAAAAATTAAAAACGAATGGAAGCCAATTTCATTTTTCTCCAAATCGTTAACAGAAGCTCAAACGAGATACTCCACCTACGATAGGGAGTTATTGGGAATATATATGGCAATAAAACACTTCAGACGATTAATTGAAGGTCGTGTTTTCACAATATACACCGACCATAAACCACTAACTCATGCTTTTGCGAAGAAACCTTCGGTGGACGAGTCACCTAGAAGGATCAAATACTTGGATTTCATATCACAATTCAGTACAGATATACAGCATGTAAGCGGACACGATAACACGGTTGCCGATGCATTATCACGAGTCATCGAAACAATATCACTTCCAACCGTTATCGACTTATCCGACTTAGAAAAAAGTCAACAGAATGACATTGAGTTACAACAACTCAAAAAGAATAAATCATTACGTATGTTATTAATTCAAGTACCAAATACAAATAAAAAAATATATTGTGACATTTCCACTGAAATAGTACGTCCTTACTTGCCGCCAAAGTTCAGAAAAACTATTTTCGAAAGTTATTACAATCTTAGTCATCCTGGTAAAAAAACTACAAGAAAATTAATTGGCAATAATTATATATGGACAAACATGAATACAGATATAAATAAATGGTGTGAATCATGTTTAAAATGTCAGAAATCGAAAGTGCATAGACATACAAATTCACCGCTTGGTAAATATTTGCCTGCTACGCGTTTTTCACATGTAAACGTTGA